TTTTTTTTTTTTTTTTTTTTGCTATAAAAATGTTTATAGTTCTTTTTTTTTTTTTTTACTATTTATACGATTTATTGTATATTTATCGCAATTACTATTTAATATGCATAATTTGTTTAGTTGTTAAATATTTTTAAAAAGTTAATTTGAAGAATATTTTAAAAAATTTCAGTATGACTATGAAAATTTTAAAATACTTGTATAGTTAGAATTTTTTATTGAATTAGACAGCTTACCTATAAAACTGTAAAATGAAATCAAAACCAATCATTTTGTGTTATAACCAGATGATATTTAACTACATATTCATAAAGGCGCACTCGCACGCTAGATGCCAACCTTGTCAGATGTATGTGAATGCAGTTAACTATAAAACTAAGAGATTTGAATGAAAATGGGAGATTATTTTGTGTTTAAAAAATAAGAGATTTGTTAGAGGGAGGAAGTATCCAACAACTATTAAAAAAATGCCCATACTGATTGAAGATATCACTATATAAATGGCATCCCTCCCCTTTCTGAAAACATCAAATAGTAGAAGTCTGTGGGTATTACAAACAAAACCTAAAAGTGCTTCTGGAAATGGCCTCTTCTTTTCCAATGGCACTATGTGCCTTGGCAATATTGTTGTTAGCTACACATGTAGCAGCTGATTACAAGCCTTACATGTCCCCACCGCCACCATCACCTTACTATATAAGTCACCGCCACCGCCGTCACCCCCACCTCCACCTCCTCCTTACTACTACAAATCACCACCTCCTCCATCTCCATCACCACCACCTCCATACTACTACAAATCCCTCCTCCCCCTTCACCATCTCCTCCACCTCCATACTATTATAAGTCTCCTCCACCTCCATCTCCCTCGCCGCCACCTCCTTATTACTATAAGTCACCACCTCCTCCATCTCCATCACCACCACCTCCATACTACTACAAATCCCCTCCTCCCCCTTCACCATCTCCTCCACCTCCGTACTATTATAAGTCTCCTCCACCTCCGTCTCCCTCGCCGCCACCTCCTTATTACTATAAGTCACCACCTCCTCCATACTAAACAAGTCACTACAAGTGATCAACTCATGTACGTATAATGCGTCTATGTTTTGTAACTAATAAGTAGAAAAGTAATGATGCCTCTTATTCACTTATTCTCATCATCTTCTTATTTGTTCATTTATTTTTCAGGTCATAGGTTAATGGAAAATGTAATTGCTATAAGAAGGAAAAGGATACTATGTTGGGTTCATTGAGCTTAGTCATGACATGCTTCTGGAGAATAAAGTGGGCTCAAACAATCCATATGCTTCAAATTTGCTTTTATGAAAATTTCATGTTGCAATCATGTATTTAGATACACTTTTGTTTTCTTATATGTTCAATCAATGTATGTCTAGATGTTGATACATTTGAGATAATAAAAATCAACTTTATGATAAAGAAGTAAAACCACATACTTTAGTTATTTTTTTTTCCTGTCTTCTAGCTTTGTATCATATATTGATCAATTGAAGAGCAATACATTGTAAAATGAGTTTAGTTTAGTTGGCACTCTACTGAGAAAGAGAGAATTGTGATAAAATCTAATGACATAAGCCTACTAAATATATTGGAATCTCACTACATTACATTGATTAACTTATATATATATATAGAAGAATATGAACCCCATCAGCCTTAATAATTAAACAATTTGAAAAATCCATAGGAGTAAGATAATCTGTTGTTTGATAAACGCATAAGCCTTGAAGATTCAACATTAGGAATCCCAAAGAAAAAATGAACAACCTTTCAATATTGCAACATGATAATTAAAACAAACAACATCCAAAATCTCCCTTTTTGTGAAAGGAGAAATTCCATAATTAACAAACTTTGAAAGGCCTTAGAAGTCACTGCAAATCTTCAAAATTGGTGCTAAGAAAGCAAGTATAGTAACTCTTTTACATCCAAGATCCTTCTACAACTATCAAAATCTCATCTTTAGAGTACCTCAAAGTTGAAGACATATCCTTCAAAATCATTAGAGCTCAGAAGAACAATTTGCACGTCAATTGGTACTCAAAGCAACAATAACAACGATCACGAGTTCCAAAAATTTGAATCTCAATATTTCAATCTATTGACGCCATCCCAAATTAAAAAGAAAATCATACACAGAGTATAAAGACAAGTTGGAACTCACAGAGTCCACCACCTACTACAAGAGGTAAAAATTGAACCCAAACCACCATTCAAACAAATCCTACACTGAATAAGGATTGACCTAAATCAAACCGCAAGATAACATACACCCGGCCTTACTTCCCAAGCTTTTCAACACAATAATATTTAATGATCAATTGTTTCAACAAACCAGAGACATCTAAAGGCGAGAGTGTTCATTGAAGACTGATGGGCCATTTTATACACAAAAAATAAACACTAAACTGTACTAAATTCCTCAGAATAATGGTAAGTCTAGGTATCAATCCATAGATTAATTTGATAAAAGAGATGGTTTTTATAACCTAATGATAATTAAATTAAACAAAGCAGATAAACTAGCAATTATAATTAAAGAGAAGTTACTGATTTTAGGAAAAATCTAGGGTAATGCATTCACCACTGGTTACATAAATAAGGTTTCAATTTGAAAATCAATTATGTTACGGTTCGAACTAAATAATATTTCGCAACTACAAGTTCAAAGCATTGATCAAGAAAATTATCACGTTCAAGGTATAGGCAAGAACTATCTCAAGTAGTATGAGGCGTTCGCTCTAAACTACGGTAGCAAAACAACTCCTCCTTCGTAGTATGACTCGTCTCATACATTGAATATGAAAGAACAGAAAACTATTGCATGGGAAGCATTCAACAATTACAGAAAAAAGAATACTTGAAAAAATAATGGAAAATTATATTTGAAAACTTCTTAAGAACCATGCAAACTATTCAAAAATTACATAAAAGAAAACCAAAAAAAAATCCTATTTACTTGGCTAGGGTTTCATCAAAACCTTAGAAATAAGAGTCTAGCCACTCAAGGAGGAGTAAGAAGAGATAGAAGAAGCAAAAACCTCCATGAAAATTGATCTTCAAGCTTGAGAATCCCCTTTTCCAACCTTAGCCCCTTCTTACTTTTTGAAATTTTTCTGAACCCTAATCTAGCCTTTTCTTCTGCCTTTTATATCTTCAGCCTTTCTTAACAAGTTCAAAACATCGGGCACACTTTTCAAGCATGGCCGCACATGTGGGAAATACCACCGCATGTACGAAAAGGGGTTCACACATGCAGAAGAAGCCCTCCGCACGTGCAATTTTTACAGTAGCTATTTGGCTTATTTGGTTGCGTCGCACGTGCGGGAATGGTCCTCCGCACTTGCGGCAAGTCCTTTTCTGGCTAAAATGTTGTGTTTTTGCTCATTTTGAGATCGAACCACATCCAACCTAATTGGCATTAACTAGAAATAAAATATAAAATGTGACTGGAAAGTAAGGTTAAGGGATCCTAATTACTAGCCTAAATGCTGTACAATTCGGCCTTGATCACATCCCCCAACTTACAACTTGCTAGTACTAAAGAAAACATAAAAAAAAAAAAATTAAACAAAATCTAGCTACCTCCTCTTTCGTAGGAAGAACGATTGCATTTAACATATGCAACAAGCTTTTAAACCACAAAGTTATCCAAGTGGACGAGTATAGTCTCGTGAGGATTTCCAGAAATGATACTCATAAACATTAACATATTCACATTTGCCTAACTTAAGAATTAATTTTTGTGCTACTACAGTGCAATATTAAGACATGATGAGTCATTGAAGGCATGGTAGACAAGCATGAAGGAATCTATCGAGCAAAAATCGCAATTCTGTATTACAAAAATTAAGTTCCACGTACTTGTGAATGCTAGTAGACACATCATCAGTACCCTCGGTATAAAGCGCAATCCTCATAACTAGTTATCTGTCCACTATAATAGCCCAGTGTAACTTACAATAACACCCAACATATACAGAAAAACTAAACTTTTGCAACCAAGATTCTCAAATAATTATTTTTCTTTCGGGAAAGACTTTGTAAGGTCCTGATCTATTAAGCTTTCTAATCAACCCATATGGCAAGCATTGGGTCAATGACTCCCAAACCAAACTGTTTTAGGACATTAGGTGTGAAGACACCCCTACAGGCTTAATAACTCAAGCTGAAAAGGCTACGAATCCGAACAAGTCATTTTTCATATTTTTTCTTAACTAGCAATGTCTAGGTCCCTTAAGCTTTCTAATTAACCCATATAGCAAGCATTGTGCTAATGACTTCGAAACTAGATGGTTTTTGGGTACTAGGTGTAGAGACACTCCTACGGGCTTAATAACTAGAGTTAAAGAGGCTACGAACCCAAACACGTCAAAAAAAAAAATTTTTGAGTGGGGGTAGGGGAGAATCAAGGCTACTCATTTATTCTTTTCTGCAACTGTAGACTGCCCCGAACTCCGCTCCACGCGTGAGGGCGCGAATCGTTGTTCTTAGCTACTACAGTTCGGACTCATGTCACGGTTCTGAATCTAATCTCACAAAGTGCAATGAAAGACTGATAAATCACCAAAGAGTCCAAATCTGGGAAATCGTTTTGGAAAATCGATTTCAATCAAAAGCGCCAAACATGGACTGCTTTGCCAGATTTCAGAGTCGCCACCTAAATATTTGTTTTGGGAAATTTAGGAAACCCTAACTCGTGCCTAAGCCACGTGTCCGTCATCACCAAAGTTGCCTCGGCTCGGGAACTTGGGTACGAGAAGGGAAGGTCATGCAATGAGCACCCCCACTCGCCCGATCAAAGATCGGCTTTACTAACATGATACGTTGTTTTTAAAAGCACAGTGTTTCTTATTCCGGTTTATTAGCTAGCTTACTATGTGATGCACACAGCATACAAGTATAGACTAGGTCGTCTGAGTTGGAACAAAGCATCTCATGTTTGTTTTTTGAAAATGGTTTGAAGTTGCTACTCGCAAGTAGGCTAAGATGCGGATTTTGCCACCCTCAAGTGGGGCTTAGAAAACATGATTTTACCACTCCGCAAAGTGGGCTTAAAACTCGCATTTTGATGAATTGTTCCAATTCAAGCAATGAAGCCTTCATCCACAGGCATTCATGCAGTTAAACACTTAAGTAGTTAGCCTCATGGCAAGCATGCTATCATGGCAACATACATCTCAGGCAGTATGCTAAATCGTAAAAGCTTACTTAGTATTCCGAGCCAAAACAAAAGCTAGTGAGTAATCAATGCATGATCCTAGCTATGTCAAGATGTCTAATGCAATGCATGCAAAATGCAACTAAGATAGTTCGGCTATTTTAAGATGTCATGTGAAATGCAACAATTGATACATGTAATCAAATTAGACTTGAAGTACAATGCAGTTTGTATGATGCGCCGAGCCCGGTGCATGCAAGACATATGAATGGATGTACGCATGCAAGCATAAGTATGCTAATTGAAATATGCCCTAAAACTAGCCACTGAAAGCAGATACGTAAAAGGGAGAAAGAAATGGGGGTTGGAAGACATGCATCACACACATGCACACTTATTACAACAGTTGCGCCCCCTCGACGGAGGGTCCGAACAATAAGCTAACTAGCTAATCTAGCTAATTAAACTAATTATTACAAAATAAACTAATTAACTAACAAGTTAACTAATTATTACAAAACAAGCTAATTGGCTAACTACACTAGCTAATTAAATACAAATGAATAGTTAATCGCATTAACTACTTAAGTACAAAAACCAATGCATTAGCTAGCTTAAGCAAAGCAACTAAGTAAAGCAAATGGAAGGGGGCCTTGGAGTGAGAAGCGCATGCATGCTCGGTCGCCTTATTCGGAAATCCATCGCGATGCCCCAACTTGCCTCTATTTGCATTTATTTTCAGAACACTGCACAAACCTCCAGATAGCTTCTGCTTCATCATGGAGACCTCGAGGAGCATTGCCGACCACTTATTGGTGTTGCCAACCACCTGGCGACCACTTACCTTTGCTACAGACCAGAAAAAGTGGTTAGCCAGCCACTTTTACTGGTCTGTCAACCCGAAAATTCTGCACTTCTCTAGTTTGCTGCAATAGAGAACAAGAAGGGACACAATAGTGTATTTGCAAGATATGTGTGCACAACCACTCTCCTATCATTTCTTAAGCTCAAGGGAGTGCGATTCTTGACTCTCGGGCCATCAATCGAGCATCGCAATGCACGATGCCGAGAAACCAAGATTGCACGAATCAATGTAAATGAATGCACAAATAACACATAAGGGCCTTAAACTCTATCAGCATGATCAAGAGCGTCCGTGATCGAGAAATGAGGCACTTTCATCACTTCAAGTATGAAACGTCCCTCGTTTCTCGTGTTTGGACTAACACCCTATCCAAACACAATGCAATGCATGCATGATCAACTTATTAAATCTAATGGCATGCAAACTCAATGCAATGTATGCAAACATAATGCAATGCAACAAGCATGCAAACATAATGGACATGGCAAGGGCTATGTAATGCAAAACTCAATGGACCAAACCAATCTCAAACAAGCTTCATGCATGCCAAGACAATGGCCAAAACATGCTGAAAATGAAGTCCAAAAGCATATACAAGCATGCATGCCAATTGGCTCAAGAATTAAGGCATTAAGATGTGACTCTCAAGAGCACTTAAAGAGCGAAAAACATGGAAGTGTGACAACACTATAAGCTCTGAAATCATGTATGAAATGGTGCCAAACCACTCAAACAACACAATTATGGCATGCAAGAGCCCTTAAACACAAGGCTACCAAACGAGACTATGCAAGAGGCATGCAATGCATGGCACAAATGAATGAACCAGCCAAAACAGAGCTCAAATAGGTCAAGACAAAGACCAAGACATGCTAAGATGGGAGCTTGAAAGTCTAGGCATGCATGCATACAGCTAGGCCATAAACAAGGCAACAATGCATAACCTTAAAGGCATTCAAAGAGTGAAAGAAGTGGGAGACTGGCAATTATATATGCTCTAAATAACATGGTAAATGATGCCAAATCATGTACATGTCACAAATGAAGCAGGCTAGGAGACTCAAAGCTTGAAACTAGCACAGGCACTTGCACTATAGCTATGCAATACATGAAGCGTATGACCAATGCCACCCAAAACAGTCCTAGAGCATATCAAATCAAGGCTAAAACATGCACGGAGTGTAGCTAAAACAACAAACATGCAAGGCCAACAAGGAGGATTACACTACACCTACCACGACCAAGCATGAGATGACTTAACCAACAAAAATCAGAGTTGTATCATGGCAAATAGGACCAAATACACACTGAAATGGTGGCCCAAAAGATAGGCAAGATGGCATGCACATGGCTCATATTTAAGGCATAAAGCACAAACCCTCCAATGCATTGAATGAGTGAAAGATGTGAAGGAATGACCACACTATATGCACTGAAATCACATATCAAATGATGCAACCAAATCATGTGAATAGCTCAAGCAATGCATGCTAGTGGCTTGGAGACTCAAAGCTAGTGAGCATGAATGAACTATAGTTATACAAAGCAAGGCATGCATGGCCCAAAGAACTTAAATTAGAACTTAAGCATGGTAAAACATGAACAAAATTTCTTGGATTTGAGCCAAAACATGCTAGAATGATGGTCAAAAGCATGATGCATGTTAGGCTAGCATGCAAGATTATACTACAAGTGTAGAATGCATGCAAGTGGTGACTCAACCAAGCTAAAACAAAGGTATGCCATGTCAAAATAACACCAAAAACAAGTTGAGAGCAAGCCAACACATGCTAAGAAAACCATGCTCAAACATGAGGCTAATAAGGCAAGCATTCAAGATACACGATAGGGGATGACCCCCTCCTATTTAGGACCTCAAAAACACACTTTCCACCACTGAAATTCCTCTAAGTTTCAATGGTGAGAAGGCCCAAAATAGGTGGTCCCAATAGCTTAAAAGGATAGCACAAACAAGGCCAAACAAGCACAAGAGAGGGGTAGACTACCCCAACACCAACAAAGCCTTAAACAAACATTTAAAACACTTGAAATCAGAACTTTTTGTAGTTAAAGTTAGGCCTAAATCAGCATGCAAATAGGGCCAAAAGCTTAAACAAAAACCAAGGTTTAAGGGGTTAGAAACTTACCCTTGTAGAACAACTTCAAGGCTGCAACTCCAACAACCTTTTTGAGCTAAAACCAATTCAAAAATGCCAAAACCAGTTTCTAAGTGCTCAGCTCCAAGAGTATGGTGTTTCACTATGTGTTTGTGTGCAAAAGTAAGAAGAAAAGGGACTTTAAGCACAAAAGAAGAGAGAAAGGAAGAAATATAGATAAATGATATGTAAGCTCAAAGCACTTTTTTCTGAACCTGGAGAAGGGAGAGAGGCCTCCCTTTTATGGAAAAACAAGGCCTCAAGCTTGTTGAACAAGCTTGAAGCTAGATGCAATCCCTCCATACTACGTATGGAGGATGGTTTCTGTGCTCACTAGCTGTCACAGCTGGCAAGAAAATATTTTCGAAAAGATGCAAGAAAGCTGCCGACAAGTTGAAGTGGTCGCCAACTACTTACACTGGTCGGCCGACTACTTTAAAGTGGTCAGCAAGAAGACCAAGTGGTCGGCAGGGGGGGGGGAGAGGTGGTCTGCGCCAAGAAAGCAAAGTGGTGGCATAGCTACCGACCACTTTTGTGTGTCCAAAGGCCACCAAGACTAGTTGGCCGACTAGAAAACTGGCTGGCGGGGAAGAAAAGTGGTTTTCAGGAAGTGAAAACTAGTCTCTAACCCTCATTCCACCCTCCAAGCAAGGAAACAAGGTTTTTGCAGAAAACAAACCGAAAAGGATGCAAGACAAGAGTCCGAGGGTTGAGGCGGCGCACCGGAAGCCTCGAAAACTAGTCTACGGGCACCAAAAGTGGTCTACGAGGGAAAAGTGTCTACGACTTACAAAAAGTGGTCTCCAAGACCTCTGTGTCCCTCTAGACAAGGCAACAAGGCATGGTTCAAAAAACCAGCCAAAAGGAGAACGGTAAGCGGTCCCGAGACAAGGCGCGCGGCTGAAGGGCTCCGGAAACCGAAAACTAGTCTCCAAGAAAGAAAAGTGGTCTACGACCACAAAAAGTGGTCTACAAGACCTCTCTCTCCCTCCAGGAAAGGGAAAACAAGGCTTTGGTTCAAAACCAAACCAAAAGGGAAGCAAGACAAGGCGCTCGGCCGGAAGGCTCCGGAAATCAAGAAACTAGCCTACAAGAGGAAAAAGTAGTCTACGACCACAAAAGTGGTCTACAGACCTCTCTCTCCCTCTATCTCTCTTACCACCTCCAGTGAAGTCACCACCTCCTCCATACATCTACAAATCCCCACCTCCACCAGTGAAGTCACCACCACCACCCTACTATTACAAATCACCACCTCCCCCAGTGAAATCACCACCTCCACCTCCATACTACTACAAATCACCACCACCTCCAGTGAAGTCACCACCCCCTCCATACATCTACAAATCCCCACCACCCCCAATGAAGTCACCACCTCCTCCATACATCTACAAATCTCCACCTCCACCATCTAAGTCTCCTCCACCACCCTACTATTACAAATCACCACCTCCTCCAATGAAATCACCACATCCACATCCATACCACTACAAATCACCACCACCTCCAATGAAGTCACCACCTCCTCCATACATCTACAAATCCCCACCTCCACCATCTAAGTCTCCACCACCACCCTACTATTATAAATCACCACCTCCCCCAGTGAAATCACCACCTCCACCTCCATACTACTACAAATCACCACCTCCACCAGTTAAGTCACCACCACCTCCATACTACTACAAATCCCCTCCTCCCCCTTCACCATCTCCTCCACCTCCATACTATTATAAGTCTCCTCCACCTCCATCTCCCTCGCCGCCACCTCCTTATTACTATAAGTCACCACCTCCTCCATCTCCATCACCACCACCTCCATACTACTACAAATCCCCTCCTCCCCCTTCACCATCTCCTCCACCTCCATACTATTATAAGTCTCCTCCACCTCCATCTCCCTCGCCGCCACCTCCTTATTACTATAAGTCACCACCTCCTCCATCTCCATCACCACCACCTCCATACTACTACAAATCCCCTCCTCCCCCTTCACCATCTCCTCCACCTCCGTACTATTATAAGTCTCCTCCACCTCCGTCTCCCTCGCCGCCACCTCCTTATTACTATAAGTCACCACCTCCTCCATACTAAACAAGTCACTACAAGTGATCAACTCATGTACGTATAATGCGTCTATGTTTTGTAACTAATAAGTAGAAAAGTAATGATGCCTCTTATTCACTTATTCTCATCATCTTCTTATTTGTTCATTTATTTTTCAGGTCATAGGTTAATGGAAAATGTAATTGCTATAAGAAGGAAAAGGATACTATGTTGGGGTTCATTGAGCTTAGTCATGACATGCTTCTGGAGAATAAAGTGGGCTCAAACAATCCATATGCTTCAAATTTTGCTTTTATGAAAATTTCATGTTGCAATCATGTATTTAGATACACTTTGTGTTTTCTTATATGTTCAATCAATGTATGTCTAGATGTTGATACATTTGAGATAATAAAAATCAACTTTATGAATAAAGAAGTAAAACCACATACTTTAGTTATTTTTTTCCCTGTCTTCTAGCTTTGTATCATATATTGATCAATTGAAGAGCAATACATTGTAAAATGAGTTTAGTTTAGTTGGCACTCTACTGAGAAAGAGAGAATTGTGATAAAATCTAATGAGCATAAGCCTACTAAATATATTGGAATCTCACTACATTACATTGATTAACTATATATATATATATAGAAGAATATGAACCCCATCAGCCTTAATAATTAAACAATTTGAAAAATCCATAGGAGTAAGATAATCTGTTGTTTGATAAACGCATAAGCCTTGAAGATTCAACATTAGGAATCCCAAAGAAAAAATGAACAACCTTTCAATATTGCAACATGATAATTAAAACAAACAACATCCAAAATCTCCCTTTTTGTGAAAGGAGAAAATTCCATAATTAACAAACTTTGAAAGGCCTTAGAAGTCACTGCAAATCTTCAAAATTGGTGCTAAGAAAGCAAGTATAGTAACTCTTTTACATCCAAGATCCCTTCTACAACTATCAAAATCTCATCTTTAGAGTACCTCAAAGTTGAAGACATATCCTTCAAAATCATTAGAGCTCAGAAGAACAATTTGCACGTCAATTGGTACTCAAAGCAACAATAACAACGATCACGAGTTCCAAAAATTTGAATCTCAATATTTCAATCTATTGACGCCATCCCAAATTAAAAAGAAAATCATACACAGAGTATAAAGACAAGTTGGAACTCACAGAGTCCACCCACCTACTACAAGAGGTAAAAATTGAACCCAAACCACCATTCAAACAAATCCTACACTGAATAAGGATTGACCTAAATCAAACCGCAAGATAACATACACCCAGGCCTTACTTCCCAAGCTTTTCAACACAATAATATTTAATGATCAATTGTTTCAACAAACCAGAGACATCTAAAGGCGAGAGTGTTCATTGAAGACTGATGGGCCATTTTATACACAAAAAATAAACACTAAACTGTACTAAATTCCTCAGAATAATGGTAAGTCTAGGTATCAATCCATAGATTAATTTTGATAAAAGAGATGGTTTTTTATAACCTAATGATAATTAAATTAAACAAAGCAGATAAACTAGCAATTATAATTAAAGATGAAGTTACTGATTTTAGGAAAAATCTAGGGTAATGCATTCACCACTGGTTACATAAATAAGGTTTCAATTTGAAAATCAATTATGTTACGGTTCGAACTAAATAATATTTCGCAACTACAAGTTCAAAGCATTGATCAAGAAAATTATCACGTTCAAGGTATAGGCAAGAACTATCTCAAGTAGTATGAGGCGTTCGCTCTAAACTACGGTAGCAAAACAACTCCTCCTTCGTAGTATGACTCGTCTCATACATTGAATATGAAAGAACAGAAAACTATTGCATGGGAAGCATTCAACAATTACAGAAAAAAGAATACTTGAAAAAATAATGGAAAATTATATTTGAAAACTTCTTAAGAACCATGCAACTATTCAAACCATTACATAAAAGAAAACCAAAAAGAAAATCCTATTTACTTGGCTAGGGTTTCATCAAAACCTTAGAAATAAGAGTCTAGCCACTCAAGGAGGAGTAAGAAGAGATAGAAGAAGCAAAAACCTCCATGAAAATTGATCTTCAAGCTTGAGAATCCCCTTTTCCAAACCTTAGCCCCTTCTTACTTTTTGAAATTTTTCTGAACCCTAATCTAGCCTTTTCTTCTGCCTTTTATATCTTCAGCCTTTCTTAACAAGTTCAAAACATCGGGCACACTTTTCAAGGCATGGCCGCACATGTGGGAAATACCACCGCATGTACGAAAAGGGGTTTCACACATGCAGAAGAAGCCCTCCGCACGTGCAATTTTTACAGTAGCTATTTGGCTTATTTGGTTGCGTCGCACGTGCGGGAATGGTCCTCCGCACTTGCGGCAAGTCCTTTTCTGGCTAAAATGTTGTGTTTTTGCTCATTTTGAGATCGAACCACATCCAACCTAATTGGCATTAACTAGAAATAAAATATAAAATGTGACTGGAAAGTAAGGTTAAGGGATCCTAATTACTAGCCTAAATGCTGTACAATTCGGCCTTGATCACATCCCCCAACTTACAACTTGCTAGTACTAAAGAAACAATAAAAAAAAAAAAATTAAACAAAATCTAGCTACCTCCTCTTTCGTAGGAAGAACGATTGCATTTAACATATGCAACAAGCTTTTAAACCACAAAGTTATCCAAGTGGACGAGTATAGTCTCGTGAGGATTTTCAGAAATGATACTCATAAACATTAACATATTCACATTTGCCTAACTTAAGAATTAATTTTTGTGCTACTACAGTGCAATATTAAGACATGATGAGTCATTGAAGGCATGGTAGACAAGCATGAAGGAATCTATCGAGCAAAAATCGCAATTCTGTATTACAAAAATTAAGTTCCACGTACTTGTGAATGCTAGTAGACACATCATCAGTACCCTCGGTATAAAGCGCAATCCTCATAACTAGTTATCTGTCCACTATAATAGCCCAGTGTAACTTACAATAACACCCAACATATACAGAAAAACTAAACTTTTGCAACCAAGATTCTCAAATAATTATTTTTTCTTTCGGGAAAGACTTTGTAAGGTCCTGATCTATTAAGCTTTCTAATCAACCCATATGGCAAGCATTGGGTCAATGACTCCCAAACCAAACTGTTTTAGGACATTAGGTGTGAAGACACCCCTACAGGCTTAATAACTCAAGCTGAAAAGGCTACGAATCCGAACAAGTCATTTTTCATATTTTTTCTTAACTATGCAATGTCTAGGTCCCTTAAGCTTTCTAATTAACCCATATAGCAAGCATTGTGCTAATGACTTCGAAACTAGATGGTTTTAGGGTACTAGGTGTAGAGACACTCCTACGGGCTTAATAACTAGAGTTAAAGAGGCTACGAACCCAAACACGTCAAAAAAAAAAATTTTTTTGAGTGGGGGGTAGGGGAGAATCAAGGCTACTCATTTATTCTTTTCTGCAACTGTAGACTGCCCCGAACTCCGCTCCACGCGTGAGGGCGCGAATCGTTGTTCTTAGCTACTACAGTTCGGACTCATGTCACGGTTCTGAATCTAATCTCACAAAGTGCAATGAAAGACTGATAAATCACCAAAGAGTCCAAATCTGGGAAATCGTTTTGGAAAATCGATTTCAATCAAAAAGCGCCAAACATGGACTGCTTTGCCAGATTTCAGAGTCGCCACCTAAATATTTTGTTTTGGGAAATTTAGGAAACCCTAACTCGTGCCTAAGGCCACGTGTCCGTCATCACCAAAGTTGCCTCGGCTCGGGAACTTGGGTACGAGAAGGGAAGGTCATGCAATGAGCACCCCCACTCGCCCGATCAAAGATCGGCCTTTACTAACATGATACGTTGTTTTTAAAAGCACATGTGTTCTTATTCCGGTTTATTAGCTAGCTTACTATGTGATGCACACAGCATACAAGTATAGACTAGGTCGTCTGAGTTGGAACAAAGCATCTCATGTTTGTTTGTTTGAAAATGGTTTGAAGTTGCTACTCGCAAGTAGGCTAAGATGCGGATTTTGCCACCCTCAAGTGGGCTTAGAAAACATGATTTTACCACTCCGCAAAGTGGGCTTAAAACTCGCATTTTGATGAATTGTTCCAATTCAAGCAATGAAGCCTTCATCCACAGGCATTCATGCAGTTAAACACTTAAGTAGTTAGCCTCATGGCAAGCATGCTATCATGGCAACATACACATCTCAGGCAGTATGCTAAATCGTAAAAGCTTACTTAGTATTCCGAGCCAAAACAAAAGCTAGTGAGTAATCAATGCATGATCCTAGCTATGTCAAGATGTCTAATGCAATGCATGCAAAATGCAACTAAGATAGGTTCGGCTATTTTAAGATGTCATGTGAAATGCAACAATTGATACATGTAATCAAATTAGACTTGAAGTACAATGCAGTTTGTATGATGCGCCGAGCCCGGTGCATGCAAGACATATGAATGGATGTACGCATGCAAGCATAAGTATGCTAATTGAAATATGCCCTAAAACTAGCCACTGAAAGCAGATACGTAAAAGGGAGAAAGAAATGGGGGTTGGAAGACATGCATCACACACATGCACACTTATTACAACAGTTGCGCCCCCTCGACGGAGGGTCCGAACAATAAGCTAACTAGCTAATCTAAGCTAATTAAACTAATTATTACAAAATAAAACTAATTAACTAACAAGTTAACTAATTATTACAAAACAAGCTAATTGGCTAACTACACTAGCTAATTAAATACAAATGAATAGTTAATCGCATTAACTACTTAAGTACAAAAACCAATGCATTAGCTAGCTTAAGCAAAGCAACTAAGTAAAGCAAATGGAAGGGGCCTTGGAGTGAGAAGCGCATGCATGCTCGGTCGCCTTATTCGGAAATCCATCGCGATGCCCCAACTTGCCTCTATTTGCATTTATTTTCAGAACACTGCACAAACCTCCAGATAGCTTCTGCTTCATCATGGAGACCTCGAGGAGCATTGCCGACCACTTATTGGTGTTGCCAACCACCTGGCGACCACTTACCTTTGCTACAGACCAGAAAAAGTGGTTAGCCAGCCACTTTTACTGGTCTGTCAACCCGAAAATTCTGCACTTCTCTAGTTTGCTGCAATAGAGAACAAGAAGGGACACAATAGTGTATTTACAAGATATGTGTGCACAACCACTCTCCCTATCATTTCTTAAGCTCAAGGGAGTGCGATTCTTGACTCTCGGGCCATCAATCGAGCATCGCAATGCACGATGGCCGAGAAACCAAGATTGCACGAATCAATGTAAATGAATGCACAAATAACACATAAGGGCCTTAAACTCTATCAGCATGATCAAGAGCGTCCGTGATCGAGAAATGAGGCACATTTCATCACTTCAAGTATGAAACGTCCCTCGTTTCTCGTGTTTGGACTAACACCCTA